ATGGTAAGTTTCCTGAGGCCTCCCCAGCCATGTGGAACTGTGAGTCAATTAAACCTCTTTCCTTTATAAATTACCCAGTCTCAGGTATTTCTTTATTGCAGTGTGAAAACAGACTAATACACTTGTTGAATATTTATGCTTGGCCAACCAAGCATGCATATAGTTCAGCATAAAGCCCTGCCTCATCCTTCCCTCCCTCAAAGTGTTTGCTTTTTGTTTTCAGTCAGAGGCTGCACTTCTCTCCTGCAGGTTGTCATCCCCTACTTAAGAAATAAAGTCCTCCTTTCTAAATGGATAAATTGTGTGTGTGTGTGTGTGTGTGTGTGTGTGTGTGTTTATGAGATGGAGTCTCACTCTGTCGCCCAGGCTGGAGTGCAGTGCTACAATCTTGGCTCACTGCAACCTCTGCCTCCTGGATTCAAGTGATTCTCCTGCCTCAGCCTCCCGAGTAGCTGGGACTACAGGCACGTGCCACCACACCCAGCTAATTTTCTGTATTTTTAGCAGAGATAGGGTTTCACCATGTTAGCCAGGATGGTCTCGATCTCCTGACCTCATGATCCGCCAGCCTTGGCCTCCCAAAGTGCTAGGATTACAGACGTGAGCCACCGTGCCTGGCCAAATTGTGTGATTTTTAAGTTGACACAATGAAGGTCCACTTCTGACTTTCCCCTTTTGCATAGGGTCCATTTGGCCCTGAGCTGTCGATTTCCAAGTATGAATGCTTCCTGCTTTGTCCCATCACTTTATGCCTGGAAAAAAGTGCAGGGGCAAGGGGAAGCTTTATAACATTCAGTTTATTTCCTTCTTCTGCTTCTTTGTATGAGAAAGAGCCAACTTTTGATCATTTTTTGTTCAGCTGTGATATTCTGCTGCATAAAGAAGATTGAACACTGAATACCACATTAATATGGTATTCCCAGATGACTTATTTGCAGAAACTGACCTGTTTATCCTAAAATTCATATGTAAATTCAAGGGACCCAGAGTCTAAAGCAATCTTGAAAAAGAAGAAAAAAAATGTAAGATTCATATTTTGTAATTTCAAAACTTACTACAAAGCAACAGTAATCCAGACAGTGTGGTATTTGCATAAGGCTAGACATTTAGAACAATAGAATAGAATTGAGAGTTCAGAAACAAAGCCATACACCTTGAGTTAACTGATTTTCACCAAGAGTGCCAAAACAATTTAATAGGGAAAAAATAGTCTTTCAACAAATTATGCTAGGTCAAGTGAATATCCATATGCAAAAGAAAGAAATTGTACCTCTATCTTATATCATACACAAAAATTAACTCAAAATGGATGAAAGATCTAAATAAATTAGGGGCTAACACTATAAAATGATCTAAAAGAAAACACAGGTGTAAATGTTTGTGCCCTTGGATCAGGTGGCTGTTTTTTCAGATGTGACGTAAGAAACCAAAGAAAAAATAGATCAACTGGCCATTACAAAATTCAAATATTTTGTGCAGCAAAGGACACCATCAAGAATGTTGAAAGTTAACCCACAGAATGGAAGGAAAATGTGCAAATTATATGTCTGGCTTGTGTCTAGAATATATAAACAATGATTACAACTCAATAATAAAAGACAAATAACAATTAAAAATGAGCACAGGATCTGAAAAAAGTTTCTCCAAAGAAAATATACAAATGGCTAATAAGCACATGAAAATATGCTCAATATCATTAATTATAAGGTAAATGCAAATCAAAGCACAATGAGATGTCACGATACACTCACTAAGATGGATATAATTTTAAAAGGCATATAATAACAAGTGTTAGCAAGAATGTAGAGAAATTAGAACCCTCACACAGTACTGGGGGGAATGTAAAATGGTGTGGTCCCTTTGGAAAATAGTCTGGCAGCTCCTCAAATGTTTAAACATTAAGTTGACATATGGTCTAGCAATTACACCACTACAAATATATGTAAAATAAAAATATATGTCCACAAAATTTGTACACAAATGTTCATAGCAGCTTTATACATAATAGTCAAAAATTGAAAAAATTCTAATACCAATTAACCAATGAATGGATAAACAAAATGTCATATATCCACACAATGGCATATTATTCAGCAGTAAAAAAGAATGAAGTAATGACACATGCTACAATATGGATGAAGTTTGGAACCATTATGCTTAAGGAAAGAATGGAGACACAAAAGATCACATATAATATGATTCCATTTATATGAAATATCCAGGATAGGGAAATGTATAGAGAAAAAATGTAGATCAGTGGTTGCCTAGGGTTGGTGCTGATTGGGAGGTGGGGGATGACAGGAAATGAGAAGTTAAAGCTGCATGGTTCAATATTTTTTGGGGGGGTGAGGTAAATATTCTATAATTGATTGCCATGTTGGTTACTCAACTCTTTGAGTATATTTTAAAAACACTGTTATTTAGAATACTTTAAATGATGTAATTCATGAATTATATCATAATTTAGCAGTTAAAAAAATTCTAATTTCTAGAATCAGAAATCAAAGTCATGTTTAACAACTCACTATTATGAAGCCTTGATTTTGAAAGCTACCAATTTTAGAATTGAACCTACTCTGAAACTGTTCTTTATTACTTGTTGCATCTCCTTCAGCATGAAATGAAACCTTTAAAATTCAGTTGTAGAATCAAAAAAAATCAGTGAGGTTGTCCAACCTCTGTCTCACAGCACATCATTTAAATTTAGCCATCTGTTGTTCTTCATCAGTCTCTCCTCTTTTTTTTAACAACTTCCTTTGTAATCACAAAGTTGAGGGTGGGGGGCAGGTAACCCTTTTCTTCATTCTCATTTATATCCCATCTTCTTCTAAGTTGGTTTCCAGTTTTCCATATTTCTCGAAAATTGATCTATATTTTTCCTCCTGTATGCTGCTATTGGCTGAATGTGTACACCCAAAACTCCTAGGTGGAATCTGTAATCCCCAATGTGATGGTATTTGGAGGTGGGGCCTTTGGCAGGTAATCAGGTTTAGATGGGGTCATTAGTATGGAGCCTCCATGATGGGATTAATGTCCTTATGGAAAACATAAGAAAAGACATCAGATCTCAGTCTGTCTCTTTGCATATATGCACCATGAAAAGGCCTTGTGAAGACATGACTAGGAAGAAGACCCTTACCATAAATCCAACAACCATGCTGGCACCCTGATGTCAGTCTTCCAGTTTCCAGACCACGAAAAATGTTTACTGGTTAAGCCTTCATCATTTTCAGATTCCTTTCTGTAAAGACATCTTAGGTATTTGCTATAGTTGTTTGTTTTACTCCATCTCAACTTTGCTCACTTAAAAATCACGCGTTCTTGGGTTGTAGGTTTAATTTCGGAAACTCTTTTTCCTTCTTTATCTTGCTCATCATGACCTTATCCAAAATTACAATATTCTTTTTAAGTTGCTTCCCCCTATAAAGTTGTTTGCAGCTCAAGATCACACCTTGATTTATTGGGTGAATCAAGGTTGAAGTGTTTAGGGGAAAGAAAATGACTTTTATCTGACCATCCTCACTGGTTAGTGATTCATTGAAATGTAAGTCTGGGAATTATACAGAAGTCACAGTGCCCTGACTTCCTCTTCATTGAGTTATAAAATATTATGTTGAAAATGCCTGACTTGCGGAATATAGTTTTGAAAGAACCATTCTGAAGACAATGCTCTGGTGAACCAAACATTTTTACTAAGTTTATATATCATAGATAATGCACTGTGTCCTTTTACATACCTTTGGGGAGCTTCGATTTTGAATGATGATTGACTTTAACTTAGTGTCATCTGCATTTATATATAAAAAGTCAGACAGGTGCTTTTTATTTTCCTCCTGGACATGCAGACATCTCTTTGGCTTGTCTGAGTTGGTTTTCACACTGGCTTCCAAAATATGTCAGTTTCATCCCCATTGTAAAACTAAGCTACACCCAGTTTCTCCTGTTAGATTCACATTGGCAATTTTTGTCCAAATGGCTCAACTCTTGGTAAATACTGAAAACTTGGAGAATACTGACAACCCAAGATATTCGGCTTTTTAGAAAGATGATTCTGTAAATATGAAATACTTACTTTACCCAGAGAACTATGTTAAGCACTGCAGGAGATAAAGATGGAAGCAAGATTTCTGTCCTCCAGGGAAAGCATAATGTAGTAGAAAAATGACAGGATATGACAACAGGATACCTAAAGTCCTGGCTAAAATCTGCCACCGGTAATCTATGTGACCCTGAACATGAAGTAGTAGGTGAAGTCATGTCATACCATTTCAAATTATTTATATGTCAAAGAGAAGTATAAATGGGACCTATCTCAAAAGGTTAAAATCTACCTAACAAGAGTAAAACGAGATAACCGTTGGGGAGCATGTGTCTGATAACTAGAATATGGTTTTGAAAATATAGGGGGCTGTTGTTTCTGATCTAACAAGAGGCTTGACCAGGACCAAATTGCCTTTTATTCAAGGAGGCTTTTGATAAGTCTAGTGACTACAGCTGGAGCTCTGGCTGAGACTCAGGAAGGCCCAGTACACAGCTCTGCCCACAAGAGTGCTGAAGTGGTTCTGACTTTGTGAGCCACTCTTCTGTGGCCCCTAGACCTTTGCGGTGGCAACCCTTACTGGGTGAGGCTCCTAGTAGAATGGGCTGCCAGCCTCCGGGAAGCCAGCAGGAACAATCTGGATGCACAATACCTGGCAAATCAGGGATAGGAGACCTTGGCACCAGGAGTCTCTAAGCTACATGGCTCCCAGGGAAGAGCCATTTGAGGGGCTTCTCTAGGCTTCGAGCAGGGCTAGAGACCCGGTAGCATTAACTCTTTCTTGCACCCAGGACCTAACTGGAGCAGGAGGTTGGTTCTTCTAGGATGGAAAGCACCCTCGGGACAGTTCCTAACTTGGCTAGGCTGAGACTCCGCAGGTAGAGGGAGGGGGATGGCTGGGCGTAGCTGTCACAAAGCCACCGGAAATGCATCTTTCATTTTCTGGTTGATTCCGGTTCAGGTCCACAGACCTCGACCCTGGAAGAGTGAGTCGGAGTCAGGTCTTCGAGAGGTGGAGGGATCGAATGAGGGAACTGATATTCCAAGACTCCCCAAATCTTGGAGCTTCACTCGCCAGGCATCCCGCGCTTTCCTGACATTCGCGCAGCAGCGGAGAGCTTTGCTACCCAGAGCAGGGAGGCGTGGCCACAGAGGCGCAGTCGAGCGGAGGAAGAGGAAAGTGGCCTCCGGGGAAGCCAGAGCTGACTGAAGGTAACCGAGAAGCTGATTTTCTCTTTAGATTTGACTGGCGATCCCCTGAGAAATACCGGCCGCTCCTGCCAGTTGCAGCCTTTGGGGCTGCTGTGTAGCGAGGAATGGGGGTGGGGGACGTGATACAGTATTTTTCAGTAGGCAGTGGCGCCACTGACAGGCGGCAGATCGGCTGGAGAGCTGGTGGGACTTGTCCACAGCGAGGCCGCCTGACCGCGGGCTCCTACAGCCACTTCTTACCTACGGAAGCAACTTCTTTCTACCGGATGTACAAATATAACCCAGGGATGCTAGTGAATCACACTCAAAGGCTGCCCACGTTCAGAGTTCTTGTGGGCAACCCTGTGGTTGATCTAGAAGTTGTAGTGAATCAGGGATGGGGATTTGGGGCAGTAATGTCTACCACCACACCCAGCGAAACTTCCTGATTTTTGATGGCTTATGAACATAACACTAAAGAAAGAGTCATTTCAACATTAAAGACGATGGCTTCTGCTGACATACACACACACACACACACACACACGAAGTGCTCCTGTACCTCCTGAGCCTGAATGGTCAGCAAGGAGCCAACCATTATTTTGAATACCTGTGGCATCCTTGAAAGAATTTTGTTGCTATTTCTGCTGGATCACCTCGGGAAAATCAGTTTTGAGGACATGTTAAGTCAGGAGAAAGGTTACCATTACTAGGACCCTTCCCGTCTATGAAGAACCTTAATCATCACCATCTCTCTTTCGTTTTTGTTTTTAACCACCTGACATTTGTATATGTGTAAAGGAAGGCCATCTGTAAAGTTTTCCAGTTAAAGTAAACAAAAGATTTAATACACAAGTACAAACCTGTGCAGTGCCCTTTATAAGTCTTTCAAAGAAGTACTACACCTTGCCACATCAAATGTTGATGATCTGCTTGCTTAGCGGGGGGACATTTGCTTACTTTTTCTCTAGTTACTTCTACTCTGATCTTGCTGTCTCAGTTCTCCTACCAGCATTGATACAGTATAAAAGGGAATATTAAGAGTTCCATTTAGTAAAGTCTTCAGTCTAAGTGAGATGAAGGGGTATAGAAACTATTTTTCCTCTGACTAAAGAAAAATGATTGGGATGATCTGTTAAAGTTTCCAGAAACTCAAATAGGCCCTATTTGCCAATATAGGACAGGAAACCCACAGATTAAGTATTGGATAATCTCAAAGTTCATTTTGGCCAATTGGTGCCAGTTTTCTCACCCACCAATCTTTCCTCAACTGTTAAAAAAAAAAAAACAAAAACAAAAAACAGGAAATACATTGATTGATTGGCATTTGTCTTCTCTTAGCTATGCTTTGTTTCAAAGTTGAAAAACAAAGAAAAGGAGAGAAACTTACCTTCTGAGTAATCTAACATCATGAATGTTCCAATTCTTGACAGTTGATTTTAGAGGAGAAGCCAGACAGGAACTTCTCTCTTCATTTTCCTCTTACAATAAATAGCAAGTAAATATGTGTCATGTGGTTTTCTTCTTGACATGTACTTTTCTTCTGCTCTCCCTCAGTGCTCTTGGGAAGAACAATTCATTGATTTGGTACCAAACCTGATGCACCCTCATTTGTCAAAGGTGGTACCAGGTGGGTGTCAGTGTCACACACAAGAGTAAAACTGTTCCTAGAGCAAATGACGATGAGAGAGCTGAAGGCGGATTCATGCTCAAACCCCCAGATGGGGGCTATGTGGGAGACTAGTGGGTCTGTGAATGAGAACTTCAGTCAGAGTAAGAAATACAGCGCAAAAATAGAGAGTCTTGGTCCTGAGAGCGCTTGCAGGCACTTCTGGAGCTTCCGTTATCATGAAGCAACTGGACCGCTTGAGACCATCAGCCAACTTCAGAAATTATGCCATCAGTGGCTGAGGCCAGAGATCCACTCAAAAGAGCAGATCTTGGAAATGCTGGTGTTAGAGCAGTTCCTGAGCATTCTGCCCAAGGAGACCCAGAACTGGGTGCAGAAGCATCATCCACAGAATGTCAAACAGGCTCTGGTCCTGGTGGAATTCTTGCAGAGGGAGCCTGATGGAACAAAGAATGAGGTAAGAAGAAAGATTCCCTACATGTACAATGAAGTAGGATAAAAGTGAATATATCAGAATGGAAGAGTTATCAGAGAACTAGATTAAGTTCCTCTTCTGTTGCTCATTTAGGACAGCTAGCAAGGATCTAAAATGACATACATGCAGCAATAGTCAGTCCACAGGTTTCAAAATTCCTAGCACAACCTTTCCTGGTCTTAGAGGAAATAAATGCATTTTGTCTTCTCTAGGGCCAGGGTGAGTTGATGGTGGTGGGCCTAGTCTGGCATGGGCAAGGAGAAAAGAGTTGAGTTCTTAGAAACAGAGAAATAAAGGGCAAGAAAGAGTTGGGAAAGGGGAGAAGATCCACAAGATAGGCAGCACTTACAGAGACCAAAGGAGAGAGAGGTTACCAAACAGAAGTATGAATCAAGCAGCTCTGGGGAGACTGCAAAGAAAGAGAACAAAATGGAAAGAAAAAAAGGAAACAAGGATATGGAAAGAAGACAATTGCCAAGAGAGAAGTGGAGGGAATCAGGATGCTGAGGGGTAGTATCTTCTGTAGCAGGAACACACATCTCTGGGCTGGGAGGAAAGAACCTGCATTGCCCTCACTTAGTGGCTTGTCATTGGCCCTGCTGGTGAGTGGGAAACCAAGGTTTGTCCTTGGAAGATGGCAGCACACTTCCTTTTTTCAGGAGCCTACCTTGAAAAATCCAGGGCAGGGCATATTTTTGGTGTCTTATTACTACCAAATCATGTGAAGAGAGATTGGAGCCCAGCTCTTCCCCCCATTTATTCTTCCATCCATCTTCATTCCCTGTGAAATTCTTTCCTGGATGATTGGAAACTGGCTAACAGGAAAGCTTTTTTTACTCAATTCCTTTTCTTTTACAGAAAACCAAAAGATAAAAATTCACTAAAACAAAGATCCAAGTCAAGAAAGCAAACCAGTGAAAGTTACCCAGCAGGGGAACAGGCTGCCCACCCAACTTTGCTAGTGGCTGGAGCCAGGGCTCTGTGCATCGGGGTGGGGGCCACTGGGTTGAGGGGTGGGGATCTGCAGTAGTCACAGCTTTTTCTATTTTATCCTAATTATCCCAGATTTTGAGTATAGTTCTTTATGAGAACATAGTGGCACTCTTCATTCTTTTTATTACTTCTCTAATGTCATGCACTCCCCAAATCTGGGCTCTGCTCTTGTTCCTCCCTCCACTACCACCCCAAAACCAAAAGTAAGTTCTGTGCTAATGAGGATGGGGATTATTTCTAGGTCACAGCCCATGAGCTGGGAAAGGAGGCAGTGCTCTTGGGAGGAACAGCAGTGGCCCCAGGCTTCAAGTGGAAGCCAGCAGAGCCCCAACCAATGGGTGTGTTCCAGAAAGAATATTGGAATACATACCGGGTACTACAAGAACAGCTGGGCTGGAACACTCACAAAGAAACCCAGCCTGTATATGAAAGAGGTGAGGAGCTTCATCATAATTGTCTTCTCCTGGGAGCTGTGATGGTAATTAGTTCACCTAGAATGCCATGGGAATTTTCCAGGCGGCCAGCCATGCTAGCAGCTATAATATCTCCCACGTGGGAGTATAGTGGGTCGATGGTGGTTGAAGGTGGGGGTCGGCCTGGGGGACAGAAATATCCAAACCACAGAACCCTGCTATTCACACTGTAGACTCTACTCCTTTGAAACTTGAGAGGAGAAGATGGAACAGGGACAGGTGGGGCCACCTCCCCCTCACAAGTTGTAGGAAAAATTGGGGTCAGACATGGGCTATCAGTGGCAGAATGTGATGAAAATTGTGCACTAGGGAAAAATAATAAAAAACAAAAGTCTCCCACATTATCTACTGTACGCTGGAGGACCTGAGCCCTTCATTTTCAAACCTTCAATTCTTGCCCAGCTTATGTTATGAGAGGAAAAATGAATAAATTTCCTTTGATTAATTTCTTTTGTGAAATCTAAAGAATTCATGAACTGGGGAACAGGTTGTATGAGTGGTAGATATTTGGTTCTTATTTACAATGAGATGGCCACTTCCTGGCACCACACACACACTTGTCAATGTGACCCATCTTTACTGAGGGCATCCTGATGTTCTGTATTTTAGAAATCAGCTTGGGATGTTTGTAAATAGGAAAGAGAAATTTTCCCTGACTATTTTCTACACACAGCTGTGCATGATCAACAGATGTTAGCCCTTTCTGAGCAGAAAAGAACCAAAGACTGAAAGATGGCATCTAAACTCATCCTGCCTGAGTCCCCGGTGAGCTGTTATTTCTGGCTTTTTTCAGGTGACTTGACCGTGGCCTTGTCTCTGCTTGTCCCTACTGCCTAGGACTCATAGTGTCCAGCAGGTGCTTTGAGACATTTTAGCCCCAGTTATTCTCTAGGCAACTAGGCTTGGCACAGTGGGAATTGGGCACCTCCCAGGTGATTTACTGATCCTCTTTGCTCCTTCCTTTCTGCCTTCTCACTCTTTTACTCTAAATCTTGTACTGTTAACATCTTCAGCACCTGGCCTACCATGTAATTCAGAAATGGGTGGTAGGACAGCTTCTGAAGTGGCAAGTACTAAACTATAGCCCATTCTCTTCTTTAGAGTTTGTTGACATTTGAAGATGTGGCTGTGTATTTTTCTGAGGAAGAATGGCAATTATTGGATCCTCCTGAGAAGACTCTCTACAATGATGTAATGCAGGATATCTGTGAGACTGTCATCTCTCTAGGTAAAGATTCTTCCTTCCCTTTGTGTAGAAGTTAAGTAATATGTTATGTCCTCTGTTTATGGAAAATGCATCCCTGTGAGAGAGTTCCAGTGTTCCAACAGCTGATTGATTTTCAACTTGATGATGTGTGGGAAATAAATGGATTATTAGGATCCCCTCGAGAGCTTTTTATAAATACATGTCACACTTCCGCATTCTAAGTAGAATTATTTTGTTTTGACTGTGGAAGATTTTAGCTTTTTTTTTTTTTAACTTTCATCCAAACACACCCTTTTCTAAAAAACATAAAAGCATGCACATCAATGGCATTATTCTACAAAAAATTAATAACTAATCTGTAAATCAACAACAATAACAATACAAACAAAAATTTAAATAATATGTGGAAAGATTTACAGGTAGGCATATGGCTCTTAGTTTAGAAAATAATAATTCAAGTCAATATCAATAAAAGTTAAGGAAAAGTTTCTAATTTCCAAACATTTTGATATAATTATTTTTCCAACTACAATATTTTATAGACCTTTTGTGAGAAGAATATTAGTGTAATCCTAAAAAAGGTAACATTCAAGTGATCCTGTGCAGGTCAGGTTGCCTTGTTAAAATGAGTTAGAATTCACATAATTCCAATAGTATTATTGCCTCTTGAAATTCAAATGTAGAGCATATCCATCATATTCAAAATGAGTTCCACAACTTACATTTATTTTGATCTAGTTAGAAATAAACCCTAAATTTAGGACTGGTAAAAAATATATTTAATAAAGACATGGGATTGATCTAAATTTTACTTTACAGGTAAGAGAAAATTACAATTCAGTATGAGGACACTTTGTAAGTTTTACCAATGCCCCCATTTATAATTAGGCCAACTGTATCTTGAGTGTATATGAATGTGTGAATAAATACATACCAACATATACAAACCAATTCACACCATACGACTCTTCAAAGATGTTGCTTGAAATGGCTTATTCTCTGGTTTGGGATAAGTGGTGTAACATAATCACTTAATTTTCTCTTAATCATTTTTCCCTTTTGTTTATTTATTTATTTTTTTTTTTTTGAGGCAGAGTCTCGCTCTGTTGCCCAGGCTGGAGTGCAGTGGTGCGATCTCGGCTCACTGCAAGCTCCGCCTCCCGGGTTCCCGCCATTCTCCTGCCTCAGCCTCCCAAGTAGCTGGGACTACAGGCGCCGCCACCACGCCCGGCTAATGTTTTTGTATTTTTAGTTAGCCAGGATGGTCTCGATCTCCTGACCTCGTGATCCGCCCGTCTCGGCCTCCCAAAGTGCTGGGATTACAGGCTTGAGCCACCGCGCCCGGCCTTCCCTTTTGTTTATAATGATTCACTTAGTATGTTTCATGTGGGTCATTAATATATTTTTGCAACAAAAATCCAGTAGCAGTAGACAGAAATGTTAACTTAAAGGACTACTGGGCAATCAAAGTTTAAATTATCGCATAAAAGTAGAGCAGATCACACGTAAAGTCTTCTGCCATGGGATATATTGTTCCATGACTGAAAATTGTGATTTGGTTCCTAGAACATAGCTCTTGCTCTAAGGTGATACATATCAATGTGTAGCTCCAGTCCTTATGAATTAAGTCTGTATTTTACTGGTTTGAGAAGGTGAATTTCTCTGTATGTGTGTGTGTGTGTGTGTGTGTGTGTGTGTGTGTGTCAGAGTCTCACTCTGTCACCCAGGCTGGAGTGCAGTGATGCAATCTTGGCTCACTCCTACCTCCACCTCTTAGGCTCGAGCAATTTTCCTGCCTCAGCATCCTGAGTAGCTGGGACTACAGGTGTGTGCCACCACGCCTGGCTAATTTTTGTATTTTTATTAGAGACATGGTTTTACCATGTTGGCTTGGCTGATCTCGAACTCCTGACCTCAAGTGATCGCCTGCCTTAGCCTCCCAAAGTGCTGGGATTACAGGCATGAGCCACCGCGTCTGGCCTGAGAAGGTGAATTTCTTGCTACAGACAAATGCAAAATGCCTCTGCAATAGTGGGTGAAGCCCACTCTCAAGGGCTTAAAGAGTTCAACTTTAAACAGGGCAGCATGGGCTGCCTCTGCATTTCTTCATAGCAAGTCTATATGCAAGCCACTGAGCAGCACCACTGATGGGAATCTAAAGGAAAACGGCTATAGCACAGTGGAAATCCACCATGGTAACATAAAGTGATTTCTCAATTAAATATTTTGCTATATCAAAGAGAAGTAGGCAAAGGCACATGGTAGTAAATCTAGTCAGAATGTCTACAGGTCCCCATTACCTCAAATATCAGTGAACTCAGGGACCAACCAAGGTTTACACTGATTATTTTGATATAAAAGATAAAACCAGAAAACTTTAATGTTTTCAAGCATTTATGGCACAGACATAGGGAAGTATAAATATTATAGCTTGTATCTTCAAAAAGCTGGGCAATTCACGCTGCTAAAGTGAATCAGTCACAATTTTAACTTCATTCTTATATTTGATACATTTTTGTGTGTAGAGTACAGGGTGTGCAAATTAAGCAATTTCAATAAATATTAGAAATGTCAATTATTTTGCAAATATAAAGTGAGTGAAATCAGCTAATAATGCAATCCAATAAAACATGTGTTAAACAGAGCTTTTTCCCCATGAATACTTTTTACTCTTTCCTTTGAACATCTCGATACTTAAATACATTTTCTTTTATTGGCTTGCAGAAATTAAGCAAAAAGTGAACTATTACCTAGCTACAAGATAATAAATAGTAATAAGAGTTTGGAGCTGTCCAGTTGTAATAAATAGAAAATTACAAATATAGTGAAATATGCTGCAAGTTAATGCTCAAAAATGTAGCCATCTGAACTACAAAGTACACAATCCTACTAGTCTTCTGAAGTTGTCATTAGTTCATGGAAAACGTAAAGAAGAGCAGAAACTCCATTTAGCTTTTACCTTTCCAGCAGCTCCAGTGCTAAAGTTATATAATCATGTATGTTTGCCCAAGACGAACTGCACATTAGTGTTAGTCACATATTCTGTTTTATCCAGAGTTCAATCAACAAGGCTTTATTTGCACTTCTTTTTACATTCAGGAAACAGTAAGCCTACCCAGGCAGGCTTCTGTTGATAATTGCCTTCTTCTGTTGGGTGTGGGGATATAAGCCACCCTGCTATGTTATTTTTCTTGTTGTGGGGTCCCAAACCAGTTTGTCTTTTTCTTAACATTTTAAGAATTTTCTTTTAGTTATCTCATATTACTTAATGGGTTTATTGTTATGCCTATCAGGGAGGATCAAGGAGAAATGGGTCTATGCCATTTTGTCCAGACTGGACCAGAAATCACTTGTTCCTGTATTTCTTTTAAAGCAATCATCATTGACTTTTCTCTCCATTTATGTAGCTTTCTTGCACTGGGACACAGATGGCTGATTATTCTGTTTATTCTGACAGGGTTAAAGCTAAAAAATGACACTGGAAATGATCATCCTATATCTGTTTCTACATCAGAAATACAAACATCAGGATGCGAAGTATCAAAAAAGACCAGAATGAAAATTGCCCAGAAAACAATGGGCAGGGAAAATCCTGGTGATACACACAGTGTACAGAAATGGCATCGAGCTTTTCCAAGGAAGAAAAGAAAGAAACTTGCAACTTGTAAACAAGAGTTTCCAAAACTTATGGATCTTCATGGGAAAGGCCCCACAGGGGAGAAACCTTTTAAATGTCAGGAATGTGGGAAAAGCTTCAGAGTTAGCTCTGATCTTATTAAACACCAGAGAATTCACACTGGAGAGAAACCCTATAAATGTCAACAATGTGACAAGAGGTTTAGATGGAGTTCAGATCTTAATAAGCACTTCATGACCCATCAAGGAATAAAACCATATAGATGCTCATGGTGTGGGAAAAGCTTTAGTCATAACACAAATCTACACACACACCAAAGAATTCACACAGGAGAGAAGCCCTTTAAATGTGATGAATGTGGAAAAAGATTCATTCAGAACTCCCACCTTATTAAACACCAGAGAACTCACACAGGTGAGCAGCCTTATACATGTAGCATATGCAAGAGAAACTTTAGTAGGCGATCAAGCCTTCTTAGACACCAGAAACTCCACAGAAGAAGGGAAGCATGTCTACTGTCTTCAAACTGAGGAAAATTACCATGTAGACCTTGACTTTAGAAGTGATGGAATAATACAAAATTATGAGGCACCCAATGATAGGAATCTGTCATTAATAGAACATTTGGGAAGGGTACATGTTACACTTCACAAAAAGGAATCTAAGCTGATTGTCTTATTCAGCATTGCATCTTCTGTGCCTAGCACAAGAGTGATACATAAGGAGTATTTTATAAATAAAAAAATGAAAATGTAGTGATGAAATACCTTTAGCTATCTATCTATATGTATATATCTGGTTATTCAAAACTTCCACACCCCCAGTCATCTAAATTTTTCAAGTATCAAGTGCTCAACAGACATATGATGGTCAAGGCTCTTAGTCTCATTCTTTATTCTTTGTCAAGAGAAATGGAAAGAGTACTTGGGCCCTCTTAAGGGAGCTCAGAGAGGATTACTAAACTAGGGACAATTTCAATAGCTACCATTCTATCTACATGAACAATCGAGGCCAGGACTCAGGGAACTTTACTCTGTAATAGAAAGAGAGGATTCAATGTTTGCCCTGAGAGAATTGTCCCATTCTCATTGCTTCTCTCCTGAGTACCCACTACCACAGTGTCTCTGTCAAGGAATTACAAGTAGCAAGGAAAGGTCTGAATGTAAGGACAGACCTAGGGACCTTGCAAGCACTTGATATCTCTCCTCTTGCTGACTGTTTCAACATAGACATACAATGAAATGATGAGGGAGGCAGTCTCGGCCCTCATCCAGGTATCTGTTTTGTTTTGTTTTTTTTTTTTTTGTAGAAAGCACAGATAAGTGGTGAATGGTCTTTTTCTGACTTTCATTATTATGTGGACTGTGTGGAGGCTTTCAAACTGGTACCATACTGCTGCAGGACCTAAAGGGAGCCCCATCTTTATGGCTGATCAAGTACAACCCTATATGCCTGAATACTCTGCAAGAAGGCCTGGAGATTTTGCAAAACTGATTTATTGAGAATGGCAAGGAGAACCTTGTGAACTTTTAGCTTTGGTGCACAGCTGATACCAGGAGGGAGCATCCTGAAGTGTCAGAGCAAAGTAAGGCATATGGCTTAGAGTGATGACCCCAGTCAGAACCACGCCAGATGGAAATTGCTTTCTGATGTTACTGGTCTTCTTTTCCCTATTAGCCAAAGTGACTATCTCTTAAGAGAAGATAATGTGATGTCAAGGGAAGTTGGAAGTCATGGATTTATATCTATGTCGGATCCTGGTTTATAATGTTGGCCAAGGCTTATTTATATATGTTTATTTAGTATTCCATAAAATTGTACTTTGTAATGAAAATGACATGTTTTATGTTAAATTTAGACAATAAAGAAAACTTTGTCACCAAATCACTAGAAATGGCCAATGTTTGCTTTTTTGAAATGGACGTCTTCAGATATTTTTTCCACCAGGAGACCGTTCTAAACCTGTTTCCAAATGTATAAAATGAGGATTATAATTCCTACTTCTTAGGGCTACTGTGAGGATTAAATGCGCACATGTGAGCATGCCTAACACAATGATTGGCCACAGTTGGTGTTTCCTAAACATTTGGAACTTTCTTCATTCTTCCTTCAGCTAGTTATTTAGAAAAGAAAATAAACTTTGTCTACTTGCCCAGCTTTTAAGCGTTCTTCATTAATGAGTTTTCCATCATTTCTAGCTGGTTTTTTTAGGCCCACTAATGATGGTCAGAATGGTAGCCTTCTGACATGACATTCATTCTGTTCTAGAGGTGCTCCTCTCTAGTCAGCCTGAAACAATACACTGATGTCCCAGTTCAGCTAGGTATACTGTTCATGAGTAACAAAACCAAAATATACTACAAACCCTCAACTTGAGATTCCTGAAAATGGAGGGGAGGTGATGGCTAGGGGTGGAATTTTTGTGGACAGTATTTATGCTATTAGGTGCATCCTCAAGCCAATAAAGTGGAAATGAAAGAGGAAAGGGGTGACCTCATATAATGGCCTCTATAAAGAATGAAAGTGCTAAGCCAAAAGGAGGAAGTGACCTGGGTGGAAAGGATCTCATTATATTCCTAAAGGCTTGGAGACTATGACTGCCTCACCACTCCCCCAACCCAGAATGATCTGAGATTGTGCTTTGAAACTAAAAGGGGAAATTCAACTTCTTGCAGGGGACTCCATTCTCTTTGTGTGAATTCATGTTTGCTAGCATCCTGGATAGCTGCTATCATACCACCATTCAAATAAATTTATTCATGTGGCTTTTATAAAGAAGTTTATAAAGAATTTTTATAAACTCAAAAATTCAAGGATGTACTAGATCAATGGACCCAGCAGTTATACTCACAAGAATCAGCAAAGTCCCCCAGAACAAGTCAGCAAAAGAACACTCCACTTTCCCAAAGCTGCTTACCCCTGTTATAATGCCTGTTACCTTCAAAGCTTATCGTGCAGGTCCTCATCTACACTGGCATCATTATCAGCAGGGTTTGAGAGAAGGGAACATGGGTTCTATTTGAGAGATCAATTATTTAAGGCAAGTGGCAGGAAGTGACTGCCTTTAGATGGGTCTGAGCAGAAACAGAGAATTGAGATTTGTTATTCCAAGTTCAGATACTCCACCATCATTTGAATACAAGGGCTCCAGGAAAAAGCACATTCTTATCCCTGAGGCTGTGGAACAGGACCTAGAAATCAGGGCTCCTGGCTGACTCATTAGTGCCCAGTCTGCCTTTTCAGCCCTCTGACAGTCTCCTAGGGCCACATTCCCCATGCATCCTGACTACTCATGTCATCCCTTGCCAACTCAGAAAAAGAGGAGAAACGTATGTCCATGGAGACATGGGAAGTAAGGAAATAAATGGCAGAATGAGATAAAGGGAAGAGATGTCATTCTATTGCATAACTGCCCACCATCTTCTCAGCACATGGCTAATAGACAGGAGCTCCATTGCCTTTCTGAGGACACAAGAGAAAGACAGCATACAAAAGCTCAGGAACTGGAGAGATGGACAGATTATTCATTCATGGGATAGAGTGAAGAGGCAGAATGCTCCAACTCTTGATCCCACAGGCAGAGATGGAACTGAAGACCTGAGCCAAGTGTGAGGGAGTGTGAACTCGTTTTCCAGTCTCTGTGCTCCCAGAGAAGATGAGCTGAGCAGAAAAAGATAAGAAAGGGTCTGGGAGAGCAGAGGACAGCAGGCTTTTTCTACTTGTATGCATTTGTGAGGACTGAGATTGGAAGTCAGGGACTCAGGGAGCAGAATGCCATTGCTTGCTGTGGATGAGACACAAGAGCTTGTGAGTGGGGCAAGCCTACCCTATGACAGACTCAGGTCTCCACTTTTTCCCTCCCAGCAAACAATGACATGGCTTCTACCCATGGGCCTTTTTGGGTTCCTTCTAGCTCCTTCTCCACTCCCAAGAAACCTCTTCCTCCTTCATTGCCTTGTTCCGTCTGCCACAGGCCAATCCTGCTCCTGCCACTTTGCCACTTCCATTGTTTCAGGGAAAGAGAGGAGGGGCCCAAAGACAGGGTGTAGTGAGTGTTATTGTGTTCCACTGTTCCCAGAGGAATGGGCACAATAACTGAGAGTGGAAAGGCAGAGTTAGGGAGAGAAGAATAAACAAAACGGAATCATGGCCTAGTCTTTTGTCAAGTAATTTAAAGGCTCTCCTTGCTACCTCCCCTTTAATCCTTGAAAAAAACTAAATGGCAGGTAGGTGGGCATGGTGATGACCATGTTGGGGAGGAAGCTGTTCCTCATTTAAAGGAGGGGGTCACCTACAAACTTCTGTTCTTGGCTCAACAGCGAAGCCCTCCCATTCTCATTCTTGTTTTCTTTGCCTTCCTCTTCTCCCTCCATGCTGCCTGATCCTTCTTACCATTGTGGGTTCATACATGGGACACTGGTGAGGAAGAAGGGACAGGGAGCCAGGGAAACTCTCAAGGACCAGCAATCATGAGATATAAAGGGAGAGGTCAGGAGCCATGTTTGAGGGCAGCAGAGGGACAATATCACTCTTAGATCTGGACAACCAGGGAAAGAAGGGAGGGAAGGAGGCCAGGTCAGCTTTGAGAAGCAGTTCTGCTCCAGGGCTGGGAGTTAGGGAGGAAGTAGGGAGGAGGACCTGTGCAATGCCAAGAAAGATTTTCCTTGTCCCTCTTTAGGCTCTGTGTATCTCAGTGTGAGACTTGGGATGATTAGTTGACCATAAATGTATGATTTTGGTGACTGGCAAGATGGCCGAATAGGAACAGCTCTGGTCTGCAGCTTCCAGTGAGATCAATGCAGAAGACGGGTGATTTCTGCATTTCCAACTGAGGTACCCAGCTTATCTCATTGGGACTGGTTAGACAGTGGGTGCAGCTCACAGAGGGTGAGCAGAAGCAAGATGAGGTGTCACCTTACCTGGGAAGTGCAAGGGGTTGGGAGAACTCCCTCCCCTAGCCACGGGAAGCCCTGAGGGACTGCGCCCTGAGGGATGGTGCATTCTGGCCCAGATACTACACTTTTCCCACAGTCTTCACAACCCACAGACCAGGAGATTCCCTAGGGTGCCTACGTGACCAGGGCCCTAGGTTTCAACCACAAAACTGGGCAGTTGTTTGGGCAGACACCGAGCTAGCTGCAGGAGTTTTTGTTATAACCCAGTGGTACCTAGAAAGCCAGTAAGACAGAACTTTTCACTCCCTGGAAAGGGGCTGAAGCCAGGGAACCAAGTGGACTAGCTCAGTGGATCCAACCCCCATGGAACCCAGCAAGCTAAGATCCACAGGTTTGAAATTCTCGCTGCCAGTACAGCAGTCTGAAGTCGACCTGGTATGCTTGAGCTTGGTAGGGGGAGGGGCATCCACCATTATTAAGGCTTGAGTAGGCGGTTTTCCCCTCACAGTGTAAACAAAGCCACCAGGAAGTTAAAACTCCATGGAGCCCACCACAGCTCAACAAAGCCACTGTAGCCAGACTGCCTCTCTAGATTCCTCCTCTCTGGGCAGGACATCTCTGTAAGAAAGGCAGCAGCCCCAGTCAGGGGCTTATAGATGAAACTCCCAACTGCCTGGGACAGAGCACCTGGGGGAAGGGGCAGCTGTGGGCGCAGCTTCAGCAGACTTAAACATTCCTGCCTACCGTCTCTGAAGGAGTAACAAATCTCACAGCACAGCGCTCGAGCTCTGCTAAGGGACAGACTGCTTCTCAAGTGGGTCCCTGATCCCCGTGCCTCATGACTGGGAGACACCTCCCAGCAGGGGTGGACAGATACCTCATAAAGGAAAGCTCCAGCTGGCATCTGGCAGGTGCCCCTCTGGGACGAAGCTTCCAGAGGAAAGAACAGGCAGCAGTCTTTGCTGTTCTGCAGCCTCTGCTGGTGATACACAGGCAGACGAGGTCTGGAGTGGACCACCAGCAAACTCCAGCAGACCTGCAGCAGAGAGGCCTGACTGTTAGAAGGAAAACTAACAAACAGAAAGGAATAGTATCAACATCAACAAAAAGGACGTCTACACAAAAAGCCATCTGAAGATCACCAACATCAAAGACCAAAGGAAGATAAATCCACGAAGATGAGGAAAAAACAGCACAAAAAGGCTGAAAATTCCAAAAACCATAATGCCTCTTTTCCTCCAAAGGATCACGACTCCTCGGCAGCAAGAGAACAAAACTGGACAGAGAATGAATTTGACAAATTGACAGAAGTAGACTTCAGAAGGTGGGTAATAACAAACACCTCTGAGCTAAAGGAGCATGTTCTAACCCAATGCAAGGAAGCTAAGAACATTGCAAAAAAGTGCGAGAAATTGCAAACTAGAATGACCAGTTTAGAGAAGAACACAAATGACCCGAAGGAGCTGAAAAACACAGCACAAGAACTTCATGAAGTATACACAAGTATCAATAGCTAAATCGATCAAGTGGAAGAAAGGATATCAGAGATTGAAGATCAATTTAATGAAATAAAGCATGAAGACAAGATTAGAGAAAAGATAATGAAAAGGAACAAAGCCTCCAAGAAATATGGGACTATATGAAAAGACCAAACCTACATTTCACTGGTGTACCTGAAAGTGACCAGGAGAATGGAAGCAAGTTGGTAAACACTCTTCAGGATATTATCCAGGAGAACTTCCCCAACCTTGCAAGACAGGCCAACATTCAAATTCAGGAAATACAGAGAACACCACAAAGATACTCCTTGAGAAGAGCAACCCCAAGACACATAATCGTCAGATTCACCAAGGCTGAAATGAAGGAAAAAATGTTAAGGGCAGCCAGAGAGAAAGGTCAGATTGCCTACAAAGGGAAGCTTATCAGACTAACAGTGGATCTCTTAAAAGAATTTTCAACCCAGAATTTCATATCCAAACAAACCAAGCTTAATA